CAACTCATGGTAACTGCCTGTGTTTCAGAATATAACTCTGCTCCATGAGGATTTCAGCTGTGACCTTTCAGAAGTAGATTGAAAACTGAAAAAAGAAACAAACAAATTGATTTGGAACTGATGTGCATAATATTGCCTAGTTTAACATTTTTTGGTGGCAATTTTAAAGTTGTGCAACAGGTAATTCTTCTTTCCTAAAAGGAATTTAGACTTTTTGGTTCTGATAAATAATATTTATTATTGGAAAGAAAGTGAGTGAATGTGTGTGTGTGAAAAAGAGAGAGAAAGAGAGTGAGAGAGTGTTTCCCCCCTGAAAACAGGAGAATTCATTGACAAAATAGACAAGAATTTATCTGAATAAGGAGAGGAAAGATGTTTACATTTTGATGTAAACACTTTGTTGTGAAATTCTGGAGCCATGCCTTTTCTAATTTGCAGTTCTCATTGTGGCTCACTCTACTGTTACTTACTTTTTTCCTGGACAACCTTTCTCATAGAGGGTATAGTCATTAGTATTATACAGATAGTTCCTGACTTTTGACATATTCGAGTTACTACAAACCACACTAAACCACACTAACCTGCTCAAGTCAACTTAGCAATAAAAAGCTAAGAATTTTATTTACCTATCTTCTGATTCTGACTCACTCTGACCTGACCTGACCTGACTTGCATAAAACAAACTAATTTTTCCAAGATTATAGAAAGAGCCACCCCATTTAAGGATGGCCCCAGCACTTTTACCCCTACGTTTATTTGCTCAGGAGGCTGGTATTAATGTCATTTATCCAAACATTATCAACATTCAAGCTCAGATGATAAGAATCACCTGGGGAGATTGTGAAATGTGTCGATTCTCTACCCCACTCTCCCGTCATTCTGATTTTGTAGATCAAAGATGTGATTTGGGAATCTGTACTTTTAACAAACTATCTGTATGTATCTTATATGAAGCCAGGTTTGGAAACCACATAACTACTCAATGTGGAAGAGGAGTTGTACAAAATTAATATAAGATATGGCCATTCTATAGGATAGAGTAGAAGTGTCCATAGGGTTTCCAAGGCTGTGATCTTTATAGAAACAGATGTTTTCTGCCATGGGGCAGCTTGTCAGTTCAAACTGCCCACCTTTCAGCGAGCAACCAAGTGCTCAATCACTGCATCACCATCACCAGGGCTCCTTTTATTTTTCATGTGTATGTGTGTGTGTGTGTGCACGTGAGACTGACCAAAATTCCTAGGGAAATGGCTTGCCTCATAAGCTAAGTGGTCAGAAAGCAACAAGGAATAAAGTATACTAGAAGACCTTTGGATATATTTGTCCATTGTAGATGCTGCCAGGGATAACTTGACAAGGGCAACTGGGAGGGGACTATGAGCAATAAGATCTGATCAAAACCTAGAGTCTCTCTGAAGTTGAAAACAGAAATTTCTTTTTTAAAGAGTATGAAGG